CGAGACTTTGCACAGCGAGCCGCAAACCCGATGTTGCTTGCGTCTCTTGTTCCACAGGAGTGATGCAGGAGCCCTTCCGAGAGCCAAATGGCAGGTTCAAAAGCAGATCTGATCAGTGCTCTTTTGAGAAAACGATTTCCATTGGTCATTTGGGATCCAACAATCCTCTGTCAGCCGGCTCTTTTAGCTACTTGAAAATAAGCCTATATACATGAAAACCAACGCAAACCAATAGCGCCTCACTGCCCCTGCTGGTGTGAGACTTGCTTCAGAATGCATGTCAGCTCTTCCTTGTCATGGTCAATGGCCCCCATTGCCTTCTCATGCTTCTCCTCTTGTTGCTCCTTCTGGCTCTTCAATTGACTAATCTTGATGTCTTCTGAGAAGCCAGGTCTGTGGCGTTCCTTCTTAAGGTCTTCAATTTCCTTCTTGAGAGAGCAAATGCTTTCCGCAAGGTCCTCCTGATCCGCTGCAGTGCAAGCCATGCCTACAAGAGTTCCGAGAGCGGTAGGAATGCCAAGTAACGCACCGCCACAAGCAGCGTCAATCAAGAGGCCGACCTCTGCTCCGCGTGCAGCACCGTTCCTCTTCTTGGTATTACCAAGCTTATCCTCCAAGCCTTGGAGCTTCTCTTCTTTTCTTTGCTGTTCTTTGAAATTCATCTCCATGTTTTTTTGATGAAGTTCTCTTTGATGATTCAACTTCCTCTCTGTCTCTGCAATCTCGTTATTTAGCTTCTGCAAAACCTTTTGGTGTGCCTCCTTGGCTAAAGACCTGCGCTTCTCCAGTAGCTCCATCATCTGTCGAATCGCACGTGCAATGGCTGCCTTACCGGAAACGACCTTGTGCTGTTGGGCTCCAGACTTGTTGGTCATCATGCTGTGCTCGAAGTGGGACGAAAGTTGCTGCACTCCTTCGTCCTTCGAATCCTGTGCATTCATAGGGATGATCAATGGCGACATTTCTGGAAGCTCTTCGTCCAGAGTCTCTTTCACATAGGTCAGGTCCTTCCTGTCTTTTTCCTCAACCAGATTGTTCCAACGGTTCATGGCAACCACCACATGCGTATGATTGGCTAACAACTCCTTCAGAATGGGGCGCTCACTGTCTCGCAAGGGCTGTTCAGCATTGATTACAAGCACTGCGACATCTGCACGGCGTGCAGCTTCCATGGCTTTCTTCTTGTGCTCCTCTTGATTCATAGCATCAAGGCCGGCCGAGTCCACGAGTGAAATTCCACGCCATGGAATGAAATATGAAGGTCAGTGGTAGTGGGTCGCACTCCAACCTTGCAGTGATCTTTCTGACCCAATATAGTGTTGATGAGGGTGGACTTGCCAGCACTGAAAGCTCCCACAAACATCACCATGGGCCCCCTGCAATAGTCAGCCTTTGCCACCTCGAGCTCTGATTGGATTCTCTTCATGTTCTCTTGAATTGGCTTCTCAGTCTCCTGTCTCATGTAAATACTTGCTGTACTTGCTGCATATGTCCATCGTGCAGTCAAATAGTAGGACTGGAAGGGCTGAAACCTGGCGCTTCGCATCACACTGGGCTGGTAATTTGATTTGCTCCTGGCGCATTGGTGGAGCGTACCACATGCCCAGCGTTGCGCCTGCCACCGGACGGAGGCCTTGCCAGCCGAAGCGAAAAGCCATGGCTATAGGACCTCTGGAAGATTCACCCAGTGTGATCCGTTCGAGAGCGAAACTGAGGAAAAGAGGCATCCCCAAAAGAGGCAAATCTACACATGACCTGGGCTCTATCGGAGACTTGAAGACCCCGGCTCTATCGGAGAATTCGTGGCTCGGACTCTGAAACTCGGCCGGACTCGCCTGGGCCTTGGAGTCCAACGCCTCCGTGGCCTGTTCGCACTCAGAAGGACCCCGAGAGTGAGAGTGAATCAGAATGGGCTAAGAATTCGCGAAACCACAGGCTGGGCCAGGCTGGGTCTGTTGGGGTAGATCATTCTCCCCCCCATTTTCTTTATCCCTTGGTGCTTGTCAAGTTCATGAAAATCCTAAGAAGAGTCCCGGCCAAAATGAGACTTTGCAGAAACCCCAGATGTCCAAGGCGCCTGCCCCTGCTCTTCTGGTGCACATCATCTGTGTGACTCTGTGACGTCACTTGAGGATGCAGTATCCAATGGTCATGCGCAGCCCAAAAAAACATGACATCGGTACCTCCATCGGCTCATCCACGATCATTTCGGGCTCATCATTGGCCTCGCAGACACAAGCGGAAAAGGGGTGTAGTGGTAGAAAAGAATATCTTCACCCTGTTGATGGACAAATGGTCTTATGGTGCCTTAGCAGCTCTTTCTTTGGGCCCTTTTTGCGGTGAGAACTTTTTGTAAACTGAGAGCAGGGCTTGGCCGTGGCCAAGCAGCAAGATCAGGGCACAACCAGGGACCAAAGGATTTTCAACGATTTCCAGCCACAGGTGGCTGCTCCCGCCAGCACCAAACTGTATCAGCCACTGTATCACTGGAATGACATGGATTTAACACATCCTCCATTCGTTGTTTCTGTAGATGAATAGCATTGGTTTCAAGGAGGCACAGGGCTGGATACGGCTCGGTCCAACAGCGGGAGCCCAGGAAAACGGGAGCCCGTCCTCGCCCTCGGTGCGGTAGTAGATGACGGCCTCACAAGAAAGAAGGCCGGGCGAGATGAGCATGCGAGATAGTGATATGGAATATGTATGCTGCATGCTTTATACCTATGTATTACTATATTTGTAGTGATATTATATGTGTTTAAATCGATGGAATGGACATGAAACAAGATTCCCCATAAAGGTGCCCCATGAGCAGCAGCTTTAAGATTGGGAGATGGATGCTGACCAAACGAGGGCTCAGGAGGGTCTCAGGCATCCCCCCCCGGATACCTTTTTGTCCATTCTATTCATGACCTTGGGGCTGCTTGGGGTGATCTGCAGGAAAGTTCTTGGATGGCCAAGAGACCAAGAAATCACCACTCACCACACCAAACAAGCTTCAGTGACCCCCTGTGACTCCATTCCAACGGAATACTCCAGTAAAGTCATGCCTTGGCTACTCCGTATCCCCCGCCTGCCCGTGGGCGGTCGTCTTGGTCGCCACCTCCCCCCCCGATTCGCCGATCGATCCATTCCTTCAAGGAGACCTCCGGTGGCTCGGGCGCGAGGAGATCGGGCACCGTCCGCAGGGCGACAGGAGCTTGGGGTCATTTTCGTGTCATGGTCGTATAATGGGGTGTGTATTTGAAAAAAGGGAACCCAAAAACAGAAGTGATTTCATGAGGTTATCATAGATGATCCATTGTTTAGTTTGTGAGGGGCTTTGAGTTGGACATTGGCGAACCATACCTGTGTACTTGATGTTCTTGACACTTCTTTAGTCTAGAATCCAGAACATCAAGATGTAGACATGCAATCTTGGAGCTTTGCTGAGCTTGTGAATGACCCTTCTCAAGCACCATAAAGGTGCCCCTTTCCCAAATCCTGGCCGTTTTTTATCATTTGTTGGGGGGGTTCGTTGGGGTCCCGATCCAAAATCGATTGGAGGCTTACGTGCAAGTGGTCTTGATATCTCCAATTCTGGGCCCCTCTCCATCGTGGAGCACATCAGTAGCCAAGGTGCGCTCTTGAGGAAGGATTTCCTGATAGGATGGTACACCTTCCGGCGCAACTTCAAACTGTGCCCCAAACAGCAGAAAATGAGCTCCAACAAATCAAAGATCTAAGACTGACTTGATGATCTAAGCCTCCGAAATGTTGCTCTCGGTTTGAAAACAGCAGGACCTCCAAAGTGTTGGACGCAATTCTACACATCCATTCTCAAAAATGACGCACACAAAACCAGTGCCTGATGGCTTAAAACATGTTGCAGCGGTAGCCTTGGCAAAGGGGGGGGTCCTAGCAAGGTTGTCAAATCCCTGTTCTATCAATCTCTTAGAGCTAAGCTATATCAGCTATGTGCTGCCAGCTCCCTGGTACTGGTTTATACGGTTGTTTATTGTGTGCAGGTTTCTTGGTGGTGGCGCACCCTTCAGCTGTGATACACTTCTTGGAACACATCTGGCCAGGGAAGCCGTGCACCACCACCACAACAACAACAACACATGCCGTGGGCACCAGGCAAAACGGCACAGTCTTAGAGATTTGGTGGGGAATAGTAATGTTCGTGTCTCTGGATGATATGCTTGATTCTCAAGTGTCAAAGACCACCACGCCTATCAACCTACGTATATGCCGTTCCATGAACAACCCTGAAACGAGATCCTTCGCCAACCAAGTGCAGGACCCTTCGCAATTGGGCGTTTTGGCAAAGTACTTCTCCATCAACTCGAACAGCAACTCAGCACGGGCGCACCAACAGTTCCCCAAGGCTAGGAACCACCATTTCATCATTTCATTCATCAATTCATCCATTCCAACATGAGAAGCTCTCGATCCTTGAGCCATAAGCACATCCACATCACTAGCACCTGCAGGTCGCCTGGTTTCACCAGCTCTTTGGGGTCACGAACGCACCAGGCCCTGCCCCACAGGTGCCTCTCGCAGTCTCAACTCTTTCTCCAGCAGTTCCTGGCGCTGTTCATGGCGGGGCCACATGCGTGTTGTGTGTGTGTGTGTGTGTTTCCATGTCAAGGTGATCTCCTCCTCAAAAAGGAAGAGTGTTCCAAATATCTGTGCTGTGTTCATGTCTCAGAGCACCTGAAGGCATCATCGGCGCAAAACCGTGCTGTCTCAAAACTCAGTGCAGCACTCTTTTCTCCGCTCTCTGCATTTGGTTTTTGATGGTCTCTGCAAGGCCAAAAATAAAGCCCTTTTGGCCTTTCAAAACCTCCGTGGCCCTCACCCTCCGACTTTGCGGCATCCCATTCCTCACCCCATCACCTCAGGCACCAGCGGCAGCCGCTTGGGCCATTTCCGGGGCCTCGGCCTCGGCCTCCCCGTCGTTCTCCTCAGCCGCCTCGTCCTCGTCAAAATCGAAGGTCTTGTCCTGCAGGCGGCTTCTAAGCTACCTGGGACATGCTGGGTACCCTTGGGGAAACTGTCCTTCTTCGACCAATGCTCATGGACACATGCCAAAATGCGACCAATGATGACCCAATGGTCGCTATGGTTTTTCTCCCAAACCCTGTGTCTCGACCATCCTTGTAGGGCTCTGGGATGGGCCCCTTGCCAAGAGCCTGGCGGAGGGCAAGAAGAACGACCAGCCTGTTGGTGGTGCTCACACCATCCGTGAGTTGAGAATATGGTGGTGCAAAACAGTGGTTGGAGCCCAATTCCGCTTTCTGGAAAGTCTTTAAAACATCTATATATGACATGCCAACCTGCAGCAAACAGACTCCCCTCAGGCAACTGTGATTAGAGTTCCACCTCAACCTCGACCAGAAAAGAAAAAGTAAAAAGACGAAAATCCCGCCTTGCACATCTTTCCAAAGAGGCCTTTGGACTTCTTGTCCTCCTCCTTCTGCCCCGCCTGAGCATTCTTCGCCAATGCCCGAGCCTCCCGGTTGTTGGGCTCAAGTTCCAGGATCTTCTTCACATCCTCGGCGCGTGATTCTCTGACAGCGGAAGTAAGGCCACTGTAAAAAAGAATAAACGTGGGGAGAGCACACCCGCTAAAAAGGAGCCCACTTGACAACAATAGATTTGAGACATTCATATAAATCAGGTAAAGGAAATGGACCAATAAATCTGTATGGCTTGGGAAGTGACAATTCAGTCCTCAGGGTTCATGTCTTCGGCCCTTCCCCACTCGCCAAACGAGTGAAATAAAAATATTCGGCGAAGCGTTCAGGATCCTTAACGCAATCCAAGTAGTTCTTCAAGCCAAACTCCGCCTGGGCCCTTCTGAAGAGTGCCTTCACGTTGTTGGCGCTGTCCTTCAGCACGGTGCTGCAGGAGGCCTTTGCATCACTATAAAGCTCCAGCTTCAACTGGCAGGCAGCCTTGTTCAGTGTGCAGGCCTTCCTCGTCGGAGCACGATGTTTAGGAGTTGGATTTTAGAATGGTCTTCCTCGCTAGTAGAGAGTCTCCCAGAACCCAGCCACGTGGACTACACATAATCATTATGGGTGAATGATGTACATTTGCTGGGAGGTTCTCCGACTCGACCTCGGACGTTCCCCTAGGTTCAAGTGGGTCAGGTCTAGAAAAGGATGGCCCTGGCCCTGTTGAGCATGTATTTTGAATTGTTATATCCTCTCTTCATGAAAAATGGTGGTCTCCAAAAAAAGACATCAGCCAGCTGAAAGCACTTTCAGGCGTCTTAAGCTCAATAGCCTTGGCCTTATTCTCCTCCTTGTAGTTGTCGATGTAGCCTTGGCCAGCTACCATGTTGGACTGGACTCTTTGCTCCAAAATAAAACAAGTGACTTGTCTCAGAGTCCCCTGGTAGGAAGCTTTCCAAACCAAACAACGCACTCAACCATCTTCCGGAACCGCCTGCCACGGTACCAGGGTCGTGCTATGACTCTGAACCCTACCGTACGAAATCAACGGGAACTCGCACTTCGCTTCTCGCACAGGTTCGCACTTCGGGCAGCTGAAGAGATCTGCCACCTTCTTGTATCGCTCCATGGCCAACTGGTAGCGTGCCGCCTTGAAGAGATTGGCGCCCACGTCCTTGCGCGCTGCACCATACTCCACCTCAGAGTGAGAGGAGAGCTTGGATCCAAGGCCGAGTGAGCGAGTGGGTGGGAAATGCCGAGTGTTTCAACCGATTCAGTCGGTCTTATTGAATGACAGGGTAGTGGTTTGAAGCAGAAGAGTGAGTCGCTACGAGGTGTCCTTTTGAAAAGCTTCACCTCAAAATGCTGAGAGTAGTTCCAAAGTGATTCACAAGGTCTTTCAGAATACGTTCTTTCCAGGAAGACCACGGATTTGTGGCACAAGCGCAAATAAAATGAACCATGTGACCTTCTCCTCCTCAGACATATCCCAGGTGTCCTTGGCCTTCTCGAAGCTTGTGAGCTCCAAAGTCAAGATCACCTTGGAGTCGCCACCGTGATGGAGGAAAATGGTTGGAACTGGAAAACCCACTGGTCAAGTCTTGGCATGCCCAAGACCTCATCATCTGGATGAGGGATCCTCCATCATCCTCCCGGTTGGATGAAGAAGGGCCGAAAGCATCGAATGATTCTCTTCATGTGGTTAGAGTTGAGAGGATCTTTTTGACACCAAGTCAGTGTAAATCAAAGACTGAGCTATATAGCGAAATCACATGTGCAGGTTCACAGCTGTTTGTGACATGGTGAAACTTCCCGAAAGAAGCCCTGGGTTTGCATGTTCACGACCAGCTGGAAAGTGTACCACATGTGCATGTTGTGTGTACCAAACGAATCAAGAGAGTTTTTTCGAAGTTAAGCAGGACAACAGGATTTCAAACTTCTTGCAAACACCTACAGAACTTCTTGGACTCCAAACCTCTTCCCAATAGTTCCCAATTCCCCCAAGCACATGCCCCCTCGCACCTTCTCCGAGCTCTTGAGCCCCAACTGAGGTTCTTCACAGCCGGCGACCGTCAAGACCGCCCTCTCGCCCTTCTTCATGGCGCTCACGGCAAACTCCAAGGCATCGCACACGTGGCCTTCACCACAGGTGAACTCCTCGAGTTCTGCGCCGAGCGATGAAACAAGTAGTAGCGATGCCCTTTGTTACGTTCGCAGCTTCTTGTTACTAGTAGTAAGGCCAGGAGCTACTAGTGGCGTCCTTGCTCCTAGCAGCGATGCCGTTTGTTAAAGTGAAGAGAAAAACACCTCCCGTTTGACGTGTAGGGGACGTGTCGGGGACGTGTCTGTGTCAGTCAACATACAAGGAAAGTATTGGTTTGGGGGTCCAAAAAAATTGAGCATTTTCTCCGCCAAGATGCTGTGGAAGGGTAAGCCCCCCACTTCCAAATATATACTGGGGCTCCAAAATCTGGGAACTCAACAAACAACAAGAACTCTTCCGGAAAACCCTCTTCGCCCGCTCTTCCCGCCCTCAATACATCCGAAGTCTCCAAGGTCTTGGCCGCAAAGCCGGCGAGGTCCCCGGCGGTCTGGGCGCTCTCGACGTTCAGCACCACCTTGGCCGCGTCGTTGGGCTTTTCATAGCCCTCGCCTGGCACAAAACGCGTGCTTTGCGGTGCTCGGCAGATCGCTTCTAGTAGCGCACTTGCTCCTAGTAGCGATGCCAGGAGCCCCTAGTAGCTTCCTGTTCCTAGCAGCGATGCCAGGAGCCCCTAGTAGCTTCTTGTTCCTAGTAGCGATGC